TAATGTCATCATACATTTTCTTTAATAACATTCTATGAATTATATTACAACACATATTATCAGAGCAATATGTGAATTCTACAGGAAAATCTATTCCACGTAATCGGGAATGACAAAAAGCATGAAATTAATTTATTTGTTCAAATTAAATTATATTTAAAGTTTCTAATAGGTAGTATTACTTTAGCTTTCACGAAATTAAAATTACATTCAATTGTTATTGGAAAATGATCGGATCAGTACCGATAGCTGGGCGGCTGCCGTCACCACACTATGATTAAGCCATCGGCGTCTGCCATGTGCTTTACTTACAAATGTATTTTTTATAGGATAAGGGTGACAAACGAGCACACAGTCCACCTGATGGTAAGTGTTTGCTGCGGCCCATAGACATCTACATCTATCCTCTACTACAAATCAAAATGCAGATGCGTTGTCACCCGTGAGGACTAAGATGGAATGCCTCATTTCCAGTAAAAAGGGCCTCCGGCCACCTGCACTCACCAAGCGACACGCAGAGGTCTACTTCACGCTGGTATTCTGTGAGGTCGTGGTACCACCCCGGTTCGAGCCGGCCCATCCGTGCGACAGCAAAAGCTGCCGCGTGGCTCTACCACCGTTAAAAAATATGAGTTAGAAGTATATGAGTTAGACAGTAATAGATCTATATCGATGCATGACCACGATTGTTCTTTACAAAACGTTAAATTTTGACAGATATTTGCTTTTATATGGAAATTAGGTGAAATAGAAGTGTTAAGTTTTTTAAATGTAAATTGCATAATTATATTTTGTTTTGGAGATATTCATAAATTTATTAATTTTGTGTTAACCAATTCATAGCGAAATTGAAACCTTTTTGGGAATATAGGAGTACATCTTCCCATCTATCGCCGCTGAATAAAAGGGCAGTATCATCGGCATAAGAAAGAAGCGTCCCATTTATCAATGTTGTCTGGCATATGCTGTTTATAGACCTAAACTACTACCTTGTGGTACGCCATGAGAAACGGGAAGATTACCACTTATCAAATTTCCTATTTTAACTCATTGCGATCGGTTAGTGAGATAACTTTAAAAAAAAACTGGCAGTAATGCAAATGAGCGACTAGATGATATGTCTGGTATGAAAGATAAGTCTGTCGAGCAGTTGTTAATAGACTCAGCTATATTTATTCCTATTCTGACGCTTCATAATTATTATAAATAAATAATAATTAAATTCATTATAAAGACATTTAAAAATGTCATAGAAATTATATTTTAAACAATTAAATGCAATATTAAGTATAAATTTCAAATATATTAATTTGGAATATTGAATATTATAGTTTAGTAAACGCATAAATTGTCTTTAAAAATCTAAATTCTTTTTTAAAATTCTGTTTGAAATATTAAAAATATATTAAATAATATATATATAAGTGAAAGGCGATTATATTGCAATTATAAAGATGTTGTAATATAATTGAAAAAATGGATCAAATATTTTCGAATTTGAAGGTGTTATTGTATTAATCGGAAAATTTCTATGTTAATGAGGGTGTTCATGTCTCTCATCATCCCTTATAAGAAGGGCGTTGCCGTAGATACATATCCAAGGTTGTACATATATATGGGGTTATCTGCTGACGGACTGCTAGTTGTAAGGTTGCACAATGATTAATCCAATATTAGGGAGTTATGATAGTAAGGTTTATGATACAAAAGCATTAATATAGAAGGTATCTAAGATGCATAAGCATTATGATAGCAGAATTATGACTTGAAGCCCCATATGTATAAGACATACAATAGTATGGTCTATGAAATAAAGCAAATATGTGGAATGTCACAAATATCTAAAAGCATTATATTGAAATAAATGGGACTTGAAAAGGATTATTATTGAGGCGTGTAGATTGCTTCACAGCGTCCGAGACCAAGGTAAACTTGGACTCGCTAACCGATGTGTCCTAGAAATATCATCTTAGTGCCGGTGGTAAGCGGGTTTGTTGTGGAAATACGACTTGCCCGTGGACATCGAACACCCCTACTGTTTGTGGGCGGCGTCTTGGCGCATATCGTTATGATACGTCGGCTATCTTTCGGATTATGGTGAGTGTGTTTGGTAGTACTTTTAAGTGCAGCAAGCATACTCAACTCCATGTCTTAGTGCAATAGCTCTATGATACGTGGAGTTTTGCCTACTGACGTCTTAGTAGCGTGCTACTATGATACGTTGGTGGTATTTATAGTTAACAACATTATCAATTTTGTTACCAAAGTCGATAGGGATAATATGGGTGTGTTGTGAGGGGGCGCCATCCGTATGATAGTTGCATTCGTGCTTACTGCTACTTGCAGTATTGCGTCTTGTGATGGATATGCGGGTGTGCTGTACCTGATTTGACGCATATTGTGGTTCTGGTCGTTGAAGTTATGCAGGTGGTGATGTGTTGCTATTACTGTATGGGGGACCTTGGGATGGTGTAAGCCCGACGATAGTCGTATTGATGCTTGTTGCATTCTGTAGCATTGCGTCCCTACGATGGTTGTTTGGCGGGTCGCTATTCTCAATGGCGCTCTCTGCATCTTGGTTTGACTCACAACCGACCAACAACAAAAGTAGCTTGGCCCAAGTCGGCCCCTTTCATTGCGGGGCTGCAGACTGTCTGACGTCCATGATGTTTTATAAAACAACATAATAATATATCTCTATAAAGTTCCCACCTATGAATGAAGGCAACTTGTTGGTGGGTGAGATAAACATGATCGAAAAATGCATATACTCAACGTCAGTGACACAAACCCCTTCTGATGGTGAATTATTACTATTAACTTATAACTGCCTATTGGCTATATCTGCCAGTGTATTGGTTGGTGGAGCATATGTCTCGACCTCACGCGGCTGGTAGCTGGAGGGAGAATCTGAGGAGGCTCTCAAGGCTGCGGCCGAAAGCCGTGCAACGTGGAACCCCATTCCCATGAGGTGAGCGGTAGACTCATGACACGCTCTGCGGCCAATTGGCTGTGATCATACAATTGGTGGTGATGCCTTACACTTACATCTCGTCTACAGGAACGGCGGTCTGGCAGGTGGTGGCGCTCACCAGTGTGCCTATTGTTGCCTAACCCGTGTGACGTACATTCACTGTGGCTGGATTTGATCGTATTCTGTATGGCGTTTACACGCATTGACATGCGCGACTTCGGTTGATGTTTGTGCTTACGCACTATCAAGGGGCCTAGTCCTCTTTTATTGGTTTGCCAGTTATTTTGCTGTGGACTACGGTCCAGTTCCCAACTAAACGTTCCCTTCGGGGGAGCGCATTAAATGGTTGGCGCCCACCATGCTAGCTAGTCCAAGTTTCGGTATGTGTGGACCTGTGTGCCTGCCCCACATTTATTTTAGATGTGGGAGAGGGAAGCGCTTGTATCTTGTATTTGATATAAATATTGTGAGCCTTTTCCAAGCGGGAAGGGATTAATTAAATAGGGATTGACTGTTGTGACCTTATACAAGTGGAATAGGGTTAATTTATTGTTCTTAACCGTTTTTGAGCACTGACTTTGTGAACGGGGTTCTTTAGCTTAGAAGACGCTACCAGCAGCTTTAGATTGCTTTCGAGAATATTCATTCTTCTAAGAGTCAAAGTCAAACACAACGTAAATAAGGGTCGTAACTTAGACGATCACGAGATAAATTTATTAAAGGGCCTATATTTCAACCTTTAGAAAGATTTCAGAAGATTAATATACTGGTCACGTAAATTTGATATATTTATATATCTTATAGATATAGATTCTAAAGAAAGACAAAAATGAGTATAGAGTGGGGGGTGAGAGTCGTAACACTATGTTCACAAAATATTCGTTTACGTCGTTAACCGATTATTTAGGATCATTAAAAAAAGTTCTGAAGCTGGAGGTTTAATTTTAGTCGTGTGAGTTATGTTTTTTTATTATTTCCCACGGTTGTTTGCTATTAGATTTAGCTTTACAAATTTCCACCTTTTCACATCTTGTTCTATCTTCCTAAGTATGTTATTACAAAAATTCCTATATCTAGTGTAAGTTGTTCGAACAATTGTATCTTTAGGACGGTTTCTTGATTCAATATGTAAATTGTCCCTATTTTTCAAACGTTTTTTTTTTTAAATCTCCGAAACGGCTGGACCAATTTTGACGGGACTTTCATTGATTAGATAGTAGATTGCTGATGTTAGAAGGAGTAACTTAGTTTACTTTCATTTTAGAGAACAAATTTGGGTTCCGCGAAAAAATTAAAACCCCTGAAATTGTGAACTAATCCAATTCAAAGGTAGGGAAGTGTAATAATAATAATATAATATTCATTCAACATAATTAAATGTAAACACTAAGTATAATCATAATATAATAATAAGATATAATTATGCCAAGTACCGCGCGCACCCGACGCGATCACCGCCGTCATGGCCACACCCAAAGACATTATTACAAAGGCTACAATCATGTCGTGCGGGCCCAGAACGCGCGAATGCGCGCTCTATAAAATTATTTCGATTTGCATAATACTTTTTTTATTTAGATATCTTTTATTTTTCTATCAATCCGGATCTAAAATTCAAATTATTTCGTTACGTTTTCATTGTTTGCTAGCTATAAGACCTTTAATAATAAAAAATCAATATATAAGGTTGTTTGGTTTTCTTTCATGAATATTCGTTCGTATTTAGTTGTTAAGTTTTTTTTTATTCACATTGGAATAGATAAATATAAAATAGGTTATTTTATTTAGTTATGTACGTAGGTTGTTTTTAAAATAAATATTTCTATTAAATTTCATAGGTTATACAGTAACCAAAACGAAATATAACTTTTAAATACAAATTTTCGTGTACTCAAACTTTGTACAAATGTAAGTCCTCATATTCTACTTATTAACTAAATTATCCACTTATCATCCCTTTATATATATAAGAACAATTTAGCTCACTAAAGCTACACAGTCAACCCGAGCCCCGAGTGGTATGCCTTCACTGATGGAAATCGTAGAATACAAGATAGCTCTTACTTCTGAAGTCCATTATATCAAAACCAAGTTTTCCAAATGACCATCTAGGAATGTCATGTGGTGATAGCCGCTCCTTAATATTATTATTATGATATGTTTGACAGGTGAAACATTTTCTAACAAATTCGTCAATATCATTATCCATTTGAGGCCAGTAATATAACCTTCGTGCCAGCTGTTTCATTTTTCTCATGCCTAAATGCCCCTCATGTAATTGTTTAATAAAATCTAATCTCAAAAATGTTGGTATAATAAGCCTGTCATTAAAAAATACTAGTTTCTGATCTACACTGAGTTCACCCCTTAATTTGTGATAAGAATCTACAATATCGGGGATATTATTTTTATTTTCAGGCCAGCCCTTCTGAATATATTTAGTTAATATTGACAACTCTTCATCTTGTGAGCTTTCCAACATTAATTTATTTTTTGTTCCTCAGTACATTCTAAATATTGGGCCTGACCTATACAGTGAATGACCTCATACATATAAGAATCATCTATGTCACTACAATACTGGTATGCACGCGATAATAAATACGCTATATACATAATTTTCCCTTGTAGATATTTAAATTCAATGTTATATTTTTGCAATTTAAGTTTTAGTCTTTGTAGCCTTGGTGACGGGACCTCATGTAAGTGTTTTTTTTTAGTAGGCATTCTAAAGGTTCGTGGTCATTAACAACAGTGACCTTATGTCCATATATGTAATAATGAAATTTTAGCGTCGTATAAACAATACTTAAACTTAGGTAAACTTCTGGATGCGAAGTACACTGGTTTACCATTTTGGAGAAGACAACAGCCTAAGCCATTTTAAGATACATCACTTTGTATGACTAAGGGTAATTTTGCATTAAAATTTTGTAATATTGGGGCTTCGCAAATTTTTTTCTAAATATTATTAAAAACACTTTCATGATGCTCTGTCCACAACCAGGTAACTTCTTTTTTTAATAAAAGTTGCAGAGGTAATGCAATATTAGCCATATTAAGTACAAATTTTCTTAGATAGTTTACCATGCCCAGAAACACTTGCAATTCTTTCTTAATACTAGGACTTTTCATATTAGTAATGGCAGTTACTCGTTCGGGGTCTATTTTCATGCCTTTTTTCTGAGAAGATATGACCAAAATATTTTACTTGTTTCAACTTATACTGAAATTTACTTTTATTAAAACGCACGTTATGTTCTCTGGACCGATCAAAAACTTTTTCTAATATTGCATCATACTCTTGTTCATTTTCAGCACAAATTAGTAAGTCTTTTTTTTTATTCTATTATAATTTAAGGGACATTTACCGCTTAGGGTATGTCAGTCCCATCATACCCTAATATATATGACTTACTCATATAACACTACTTAATAACTACATGGGCCATGGATTTGAACAGAACTTTCGCATCGTCGCTATTTGGTTGGGATAGAATATTATGGAATGTGCCTACGTCAGTTCTGTTCAAATTCAAGACCCTTAGGAAATTACTTCTAATAGACTCAAATCGAACACATTCCATCAATATATGGTATAGGTCTTCTATAACTCCACAGTCTTCACAATTGGGCGAAGTTGTTTTTCTCATTAGAAATACAAATTTCTTACATGGAACGTGTCCAGATCTGAGTCTATGAGCAGTAGTAACTAATTTCCTACTTAATCTAGTGTTCATGAACCAGGGCACATGAAGAGGCTGACACTGTATGGTTTTATACCATATTCCTTTTTCTAGTGACCGCTTGTTAAAGTATTCCTTCCACATTTCATAACAAATATTTTTGAATTTAGGTAAAACTTCTGAGTGATCCAAAATAATATTAGTTTCCTTTCCATTCTTAGCTGCATATTTCGCTAACATGTCAGCCTTTTCGTTGCCCCGTAACCCAATATGCGATGGGACCCATTGCAATCTCAGTTGGACGCCTTTTGAAGTTATTTCATCTATCTTGGATATAATGTCATAAGCTATCGATGCACCTCTGTAACCAGAGGCGCATCGAGCTATGTGTTGCAATGAGCTCTTGCTGTCTGTGCATATAACGACATTTTTATATTGGCTACTGATAACATGTGTCAAAGCTTCTGAGATTGCTATAAGTTCCAAAGCCATAATACTAGTATGAGTACTTATTTTAAAACAATGATTATTTTGATTTAGTATTATATCTATGTTAGGCACATAAAACGCAGACCCATATCCTTCTACACTCTTCGACCCATCCGTAAATATTAAATCTTGTATACAACTCTTTGATAACTTCATACTTTAATAGGTTACTGTCGTATGAGCTTTTTGAATAGTGAATTGTTTCTAGCTTGGGTACAATTACTTCATTTAAGTTAATATTGGTCACCCATGTTCGCAAAGTAAATATTAATAACGGACATGATGTTGCTATCTGAATTTCTTTAACTTCATTATGTGAGGATACCAGTAAAGGAATGATTTTGTTGCTCCAATAATAATTTTGTCGAAGAGTGTAGAGTTCTTCTAATAGCTGAGTAGTTATATTATTTTCTGCAGACTTTAACTTTAGACATAATTTGTATGCTAGATATTTTCTCCGTAAGTACAGTGGAACTACACCAAGCTCACTCTCCATAACGTGAATTGGAGTGGTTTTAATAAATCCTCCTATTATCCTTAGTGCCTGATTTTGAATTTTATTTAGTTTATCTAAATGACATTTTGCACTTGCGTCATATAGATAGCAACTGTAGTCTATACGACTTCTGATCAGTGCTATATATATATGTCTTAAATGTTTAGGATGCAAGCCCCAGGAGACACCAGCTAATACTTTAAGTAGATTAAGACTTCTTTGCACTTTCTCCACCGTCATGTTAATATGTTTGCTCCAACGCAACGACCTGTCCAACCAAACACCCAAATATTTGTAAATGTCTACTATCTCTAAATTATGACTATCTAATTTTAATTCTATTTGCAGTCTTTTAAAACCCCTGCTGAAAATGCAAAAAGTTAGACTTGGAAGCAGAAAGTTCTAGCCCCATTTCATCTAGAATGTTACAGAGTGTATTTAAAACAATTTGAAATTCATTTTGACTTTCACCAAAATTTCTAGAAGAGGAATAAAATACAAAGTCATCGGCATATTGACACATTGTCACGTTTCTAATCTCCTGGAAGCATTTAATGGTAAGTATATTAAAAATAATAGGTGAAATTGGGTCACCTTGCGCCATACCTCGATTTGTGTATCTTATGAAGTACTTATTCCGGTCAGTTTCATCCTGCATCATAAGGTGTCTTTCGCTTAAAAAATTCCATAGATATTGACAAAACTTTTTACCAATCCCTATTTCATCTAAAGTGTTTATCAGTATATCTACTAGGACATTGTTATACGCATGTTTGATATCTAGGAAACAGGCTATAGTTGGGGTCTTATGGGAAAATCCCAAGTAAATTTGACTTACTAGTTTGACTAGGCAGTCTTGACATGACTGTCCTCTTCTGAAGCCGGACGTGTACTGGGATAATAATTGATTTTTTTCAACATACCACTCAAGTCTTTTTGTCAACATTGAATGAAAAATTTTACAGACACACGATATTAAAGAGATGGGCCTAAGTTTAACATTATTATTATTCGAGACTTTTGGAATCAGCGTTACCAATATGTCACGCCATTGAAATGGAATAATTCCGGTGTTGAAGATATAATTATATAGCTCTAGCAAGTAAAGCCTACTGCCATGAGATAGATTATATATAAGTGAATATGTTATCCCGTCGTTACCAGGCGCTGTATCTTTTTGTTTTAAACAATTACACATTTCTTGTAGGGTGAAATTGGCTTCCAGTACTGTATTACTTCAATTGAAATACTCAGGCTTTCGGAAGACATAATCGGGAGCCAGCTTACAAAGGAGATCGAACTTCTGTTCGTTTGAAACGTGTGACCTTGACGAATTAAATCCCTTAACCCAACCCATGCGTTTCCACATATCGGAGTTAAACGTTCGTTCGTCAATGCTGCTACAGTAACTTTGCCAATTTCTTGCCTTCGCTTGATTAATTGCATTTTTCGTCTCTTTGGTTTTGCGCTCGAGTATAGTGAGATTAGTTGGGATGGGGTTCTTTCTAAAATTCTTCAAGGCCAACCTTCGTTGTGCTACTAAATGGGATAGTGTGGGATTCCAATAAGGCTTAGGCCGAAAGTTATTTTTGGGATTATCACAGCTTCTTACTAGCGGTATATGTTCGCCCGCAGCGTTATTCACTTGCTTAATGAAATTATCATACAAGGATTGGACACTAATGTCATCTATAGGCTGTAATAAATAGTTTTCTAAAGACTTGCTATACGCTGGCCATTTCGCTAGTTTAAAATTACGCTTTTTAGTTACCCAAACTCGATTTATATTGCTATTATACTTATAAGAAATCTTAATAAACATATGGTCGCTTCCCAAGCTTTCATTCATAATACTCCAGTTAAACGCAACGGATAAATCAGAGAAAACAAATGTCACATCAGGCGATGTCTGCTGAATAATGTTATTAACTAAAGTCATTCTAGTTACGCTACCATCATTAAGGGATATAAAGCCGCCATCTAAAGCCGCATCATATATCTGTCCTCCTCTTCCATCGGTTTTAGACGACCATGTTGTATGGTGACCATTAAAGTCCCCAGATATAATACATTTATTCGGAAATAGTGAAAAAATTTGTTCCCAATCAGACAAACTTGTCCGCACGGAAGAGGGGCAATATATTAAAAGTATATTTTTAATTTCGTTACAGTTCAAAAGTTTGATTGAAATAATCTCTATTCCCGAATTATTAATTATGATTGGACATTGTTGTACTTTAATCGACTTACAAATTATAATAGCAACCCCCCCATAGCCATCTACCCTATCCTTTCTAAAAATATTATAGCCACTAATATTTATATGTGTATCTGGTTCTAGCCAAGTTTCAGATATTAACGCTATATGTATTTTTCTTGTGCTAATAAAAGTTCCAATTCGTTACGTTTGGGCCGCAAGCTTCGTGCATTCCACTGTAACATACATAGCTTAAACAATATTGTATTATCGTTCGCCATTTCCGAACATAGATACTATTCTTGTACATAAATCGTCTCTGTTCCAAATTTTGATTATTAAATTACCAAGTATTTCAAATAATAGTTTACCTAATTGTTGGAACTTAGTAGACCAATCGTTATCGTAACAACATATATCTTTGACTCTTTGAAAAATGCTACCTAAATCTAAAATAGAATTTGAACTATTACTCTTAGACTCCGGATTTTGCTCTGTCTCCATTTGTCTTGCTTCTAACTCACCGTTGCCTTTTTCTCTAGTCTTCCTATTCCCATCCGATCTTCCAGCCTCTGTATTCTTCCTCTCCAGCGCCCGCTCTTTTTCTATATGAT